TTTTGGTAAACACTTAAATAGTGTCAAAAGTAATATCCAGAAAATGCCTTAGTCAAAATAAGTTGATATGGCACCATGGCATTTTTTCATAGCGCAATTTGTAGTCTTTTGTCCAACATGTAACTAGTCACGTAACTTGCAAAAGTTTTTATTCATTCGTTGATGATAGACGAATGGCACAATGATCATGTGACAACCACAATTGAAATTGCTATAAAATAAAATTTGTACAACTATGATATAGCTTCAATAATATTTTTAGAATTAAGCCTGTCAGCATGTGTATAAACACTATTTAAATCTGGTTTATTGACATAATTCCGACCCATATGTCATGTGTCATAGGAATTCAGCATTTGAGATTCTGTCGGGAAAATACCCACTGTTTCTCTTTCTGTGTATTCGGTGTTCTACCAGGAGATTATATTCAATGAAGATTTAAATTTACCATCAATGTATGATCCAGTTATTATTTTAATATCTACCTGTACCTGGAATTCACACGGACGGAGCGTAGAAGACGTGCGATTCGCAAACCATGTCGAGATCATCTTATTTCGCCACGTGGAGTATTTTACTGAACCTTTTATGAATTATCAGCAAGCTTGTTTTGGTTTTTTTTTTACCGGATTGTCAAAATCACCATTAAATGTGCTAATTGCTCGGATTAAGAACCATATGAGGTATGACTGTTGTTGTAGCCGACAAGTAAGTTGATTGACTTTTTTTTATTAACAAGTAATAATTACCCCTTTGTAAATTTCTCAAGGGGTGAGCTAGAGTGAAAGTGTTTTTTGTAACGTATTATTATCTAAAGAATTTCTTTGTTGCACATTTGTGGTGCTTAGCCCTCCTCCACCCTCTCACACCACCAGGGGTGTGATATTGTGGTTCACAACCTTTTATGATCATGTTCTTCTCAACTTTAGAATGATAATTTGTTCAATATTATATTAATGTTCCTTTCATTATGATATGTTTTCTCATATTTGCATGTTTTAGTCTGTTGTTGAGCAAGGAACATGATGTTAGGGTAACTATTAATTGTTGCCAATTGGAATAGCCATGTTTTAGTAATTTAATATAATAAATTGACATTTTACACCACCAACTTGAGTTTTTTTGTATAAGCTGGGGGGGATGTTGTCAAGGGCTGAAAACACAAAAATATAAGGGTTATCAAATGGGTAGAAAATTTGAAAAAAAATTGTTTGTGGACACTCTACACTTGACAAAACTTGAAATATAGGTTTATCTCCAAAAGATCTTGATTGCTTTCGATATTTGCATGTATCGGACCGAAACTTCATGCATTATAGGTTTATCTCCAATAGCGTAATAATAAGGTATATGAATGTTGTGGACCCCCTCTAGCGTTCACAATTTTCTTCTGATTTTGGTGAAACTTAAAATATATCTTTATATCCCAAATGTCTTAGTCCCTTTTGATATTAGTGCATTTCAGACCATAACTTTCTGGATTATTGCCCCTGATTGTACAAAAAATCCTGTTTGTTTATAACCCAAAGATCTTGGTTCCTTTCGATATTCGCGCATATCGGATTGTAACACTCTAGAGGTCACAATTCTTATCCGATTTCAACGAAACTTGAAATATAGGTTTATCACCCTAAGATCTCTGTTCCTTTCGATATTGGCATGTATCGGACTGTAACTTCATGGATTATGGCCCTTGATTGAACGAAAAATCACGTTTTTAGCTTGTGAACACTGTAGAGGTCACAATTTTTATCCAATTTGGTTTAAACATGAAATATATGTTAATAACCCATAGATCTCAGTTCCTTTCGATATTCGCGCATATCGGATCATAACTTCCTGAATTATGGTCCCTGATTGTACGAAAAATCGCATTTTTAGCTTGTGGACCCTATAGAGGTCATATTTTCTATCCGATTTAAAGAACTGTATTAGTATATCACCGTTACACCCTGAGGATGGCTGAGTTTGAATTTAGTGAAAATCGGACTAGAACTGACTGACAAAATGGCTGTCCATCGATCTCAAATAGCGGAAAAATATGGTATATCAAGGTTGTGGACCCGATAGAGGTCACAATTTTTATCCGATTTTGTTGAAACTTGAAATGTAAGTTTATAACCCAAAGATCTCAGTTCCTTTCGATATTCGCGCATAACGGACCATAACTGTCTGAATTATGACCCCTGATTGTACGAAAAATCCCGTTTTTAGCTTGTGGACCCTATGGAGGTCATAATTTTTATCCGATTGAAAAAAACCTTTTAGTATATCACCGTTACACCCTAAGGATGGCTGAGTATGAATTTCTTGAAAATCGGTTCAAAACTGACTGAACGCTGTAACAACAAAAGTTATCAACCGATCTATATTAAAGTTATATGCATCATTTAAATTAGTAAAACAAAGAACCCTATTGAATTTCAGCAATTTTCGTTAATTACATCTAGAGTTATGGCCCTTGTTTCACTTTGTTGAATCTTGTGAACACTCTAATGACAACAGTTATCTGATCTGTTTGAAATTGATTGGCATCATTTAAATTAGTGAAACGAAGAAGCATATTGAATTTCAGCAATTTCCGTTAATTACGCCGGGAGTTATGGCCCTTGTTTCACTTTGTTGTACCTTTTGAATGCTCTAACAACAAAAGTTATTATCCGATCTGTATGAAATTTATATCAATCATTTAAATTAGTAAAACAAAGAAGCCTATTGAATTTCAGCAATTTTCGTTTATTACATCTAGAGTTATGGTCCTTGTTTCACTTTGTTGAATCTTGTGAACGCACTAATGACAACAGCTATCATCCGATCTGTTTGAAATTGATTGGCATCATTTAAATTAGTGAAACGAAGAAGCCTATTGAATTTCAGCAATTTCCGTTAATTACACCGTGAGTTATGGCCCTTGTTTCACTTTGTTATACCATGTGAATGCTCTTACGACAAAAGTTATTATCTGATCTGTATGAAATTTATATCAATCATCTAAATTAGTAAAACAAAGAACAGTGTTTCCGCTAGCTTAAAAAAATTACCGGTACATCGTACCGGTAGAGGTCAAAAATACCAGTCCACTTGTAATTTTACCAGTCTGATGAAATCAAAATTTTACTGCTAATCATTCTTGTAAATGTATTCAAATAAATAAACCCTTCATTGAAACATGCTGTGAGAATTTGAACACATTGTGAAAATAAGCCAGGCGGATCTCGTCATGGATTGTATTGTGAATCTCGAGAGTCGCGCGTCTTTGATTGACGCTCCATATGAATTCCAGGTAGATATTAAAATAATAATTGGATCATAGATGTGACGGTTTCACAGACCGATTGTTAGTTCAATTTAAATCTTCATTGAATATAATCCACTGATAGAACACCGAATATTCTGAGAAACAGTCATTAATAACATATTTTTCGGATAAAATCTCGGTATACTGATGACACGTGACATCGCTGGAATTAGGTCAATGAATCGGCAAAGTTAGCTTTAGTTTTAAATACTGTTTAACATTATGATTTTTTACTTTATACTACATGCTGACAGAAGCTTTGTTTTATAAATGTTGTCGATATTATTAAAGGCTATGACATAATTAAAAAAAAAAATGATTTTAAAGAAATTTCAATTGTGGTTGTCACGTGATCATTGTGTCGTTTGTCTATCATCGTCGAATGAATAAAAACTAAAAAGGTGACAGACAAAAACTATGTATGGTGCTAAGATAAACGATTACGCAGAGACGTATATTAAATTTTGCCGACGTAAACCCTTTTTTTCTCTGCTGGGACTACCAAAGATACAACGATATTTCTTTTGCGTTTGATACAGGTATCACCACCTCCGTTAAAGGACGAAAAATTCGTCTACTTTGGCGCCATTTTGTGAAGATCATGCAGACATTGAGCAGCGATCTTCAAGACGGAAGAAACCATCATATCGAAGTTACTATAAATAGCACCACTTTTCGACACCCATGGTCAGCACGAGATTTTTGACATGAGCTATGAATGGAAAGATAAAGTTGCAGTTAATTTTGTTGATGTTTATGATTTTCCGTATCATTGTTTACCGGTCCCATGGACTGCCGGGAAAATAATTTACCGGTACACGTTAAAATTTACCGGTATAAAACCGGAAAATACCGGTTATCGGAAACTCTGCAAAGAAGCCTATTGAATTTCAGCAATTTCCATTTATTACATGTAGAGTTATGGCCCTTGTTTCACTTTGTTGAATCTTGTGAATGCTCTAATGACAACAGTTATCATCCAATCTGTTTGAAATTGATATGCATCATTTAAATTAGTTCAACGAAGAATCCTATTGAATTTCAGCAATTTCCGTTAATTACGCCGTGAGTTATGGCCCTCGTTTCACTTTGTTGTATCTTGTGAATGCTCTAACGACAAAATTTATTATCCGATCTGTATGAAATTTATATGTATCATTTAAATTAGTAAAACGAACAAGCCTATTGGGTTTCAGCAAATTTCAGTTAATTACATCTAGAGTTATGGCCCTTGTTTCACTTTGTTGAATCTTGTGAACGCTTGAACGACAAAAGTTATCACCTAATCTGTATGAAATTCACATTCATCATTTAAATTAGAGTTATGGCCCTTGTTTTACTTTGTTGAACCTTGTGAACTTTCGAGCGACAGTAGTTATCATCCGATCTGTATGAAATTTATATGCAATATTTGAATTAGTAAAACGAAAAAGCCTGTCGAATTTCAACAATTTCTGTAGATTACTTCCAGAGTTATGACCCCTTTTTTTAGTTTTTAGAACCATGTGAACCCTCAAACGACAAAAATTATAATGTCATCTGTATGAAATTCCCCTAATTACCTACAAAAGAATAAATATGCGACAACCCTTGTCAACTGCTCGAATGGTTTAGCTGCTGTGGGTGTATGTTTTGTTGCCTGGCAACCTATCTTTAAAAAAGTATTGGTAACTGTTAATTTGTTTTGGTTGTTTATTTTCAGAGTTAGAACAAAAGATCACAAAAAGCGAGCATTAGGAAGAGTTGGTTTCTCACTTGGGAAAGGAATTAATTTCTCAGTTGGAATGTAAGTACTCTATATATTATATACAGTGGACTCCGTTACTTCAGACAACTGAGTACTATGACATTCTGTGAAATCAGTCCTCATTTTCATGTCCTCAGTGGGTGTTAGCCAGTGATGGGATTTCAAAATTTTTCTTGCTGGACATTTTTACCGAAAATAAAGGGGCATAACTCTTCATTATTTAAGCAGGTGGTTTCAGACCACAATTAAAAAATCACGTGTCAACAAAATATTCAAATTCGTACGTAATAAAAAAAAAATAGGTGCGCCTCGTTATTTTTCATATTTAAGAGTCATTCCACGAGAAAACCATGCAGAAGGTGGGGGTCGGCAGATCAAGTTCATCTCTGGGGGATTTTATGGACTCCTCAAGACTACTTCACAGCCAAGAGGGCCGATCTCAAAATTTCACTGGTGTCGCTACCAATAGCGGTTACAGAAGGAAGAGGCAGCGTGGCAGTTGCAATACCCATAGCTGTAGATGATGTAGTAGCAGTAGATTGATGATGGATGTAAGCAGCACTACCAGTAGCTGCAGATGGTGTAGCAGTGGGAGAGATGTCACCAGTTCCAACAGTAACCTGAAAGAACCAAACCATATAAAATAATTTACTAAACTTATATTGTAATGTACTATTTACAGGGGGCAACATTTGTAAAATTTTCTGAAACTGGTCCCAGTCAATCCATTATTCGGAGACTCGATACAAGAGATTTTTCAATTGCCCATATATGTTGAGGTTGATATTAAGAATATTTTCAATCTGATTAAAACACAGATCCTATTTCGTTTCGTTTTTATAGTTCAAAATTTTGTTTTACTACACTAGGATCTGAAAGAGTTGTTATCATTGACGTGTTCTGAATTCTGTGAGGTATTAGCCAGTGAAACGACATGTTACGGCGAGCTTTAGGCATGTTTTGCACGGAACTGTGGGTAAGCCTCTAGAAGCAACTGCCGCTCGCATGACCTGTGACGTGACCTATCGCAACAACCAGTCAGATCTTCATGTAGGTCATCGAAAGTATAAAAAAAAACCGAAACGAAATATAGATCTGTATTTTAATCAGATTGGAATATGTTGAGAGGTGGGCCCTGATAGAAATGTCCTTTATGTACAAATTCAGTTTTAAAAGGCCCAGCAAGATCCATTTTGGGCTCCGAAAATGATCGTATGATGAAGTTGAATTTTTGACCCTATGCCATATTTTTTTATTTGAGGAACTACCCTGAGGCAGTGTAGGAACTTGGCTCTCTTGACGGCCCATTTCCTCATTATGGGCAGCATAATATTTCCGGCATACATAAAATAGGAGAAAAAATTCTAAAATTAACAAGAATTTTTTAATGCTGCCAAGTTTAAAAAAAAGCAGAGAGCTGGCCTTTAGTAAAGGTATTACAGCTATATCAGACACAATGCAGCTGGTTTGAGGAATCGCTTAACTTAGTCAACTGGAGTATCACCGCACAACTGTTTCCTGCTAATTTGATTGTGGTCGAGCATCCACACAGGGTTTCCATCGATTTTTCAAAGACACAATTTCTTCCCTCTTTTTTGTCCCCCGCCTTTCGAAGAAAGCAGGGGACTATTTAAATGGGTTCGTCCATCTGTCTGTCTGTCTGTCTGTCTGTCTGTCTGTCCGTCCATCTGTCTGTCCGTCACACGTTTTGGGACACAATAACTCTCCTTCTAATTGACCTAGAATGTTCAAACTTGGTGTAGGTGTTTATTAGGTCAGTGCCTTGATGGAGTTCGAAGATTAGCATTTTCTGCTTAGGGTAAGCAGAGATAAGCAATTTGATTGGTTGATGCTTTGGGACACGATAACTTTAGTTCTAATTAAGTGTGAGTGATGAAACTTAGTGTATAGTTTCATTACATCCAATACCTTGACTAAGTTCGATAATGAGCATTTTCTGCTCAGGGTAAGCCGAGCGATAAGCAATTTGATTGGCCAAGACTTTGGAACACAATAACTCTCCTTCTAATTAAGCTAAAATCTTCAAATTTGGTGTAGGTGTTTATTTGGTCAATGCCTTGACGGAGTGTGAAGATGAGCATTTTATGCTTAGGGTAAGCAGAGATAAGCAATTTGATTGGTTGATGCTTTGAGACACGATAACTTTAGTTCCAATTAAGTGAGAGTGATGAAACTTGGTGTATAGTTTCATTACATCAATACCTTGACTAAGTTCGATATTGAGCATTTTCTGCTCAGGGTAAGCAGAGTGATAAGCAATTTGATTGGCCGAGACTTTGGAACACAATAACTCTCCTTCTAATTGAGCTAGAATGTTCAAACTTGGTGTAGGTGTTTATGAGGTCAATGCCTTGATAGAGTGGTCAGATGAGCATTTTCTGCTTATGGTAAGTAGAGATAAGCAATTTGATTGGTTGATGCTTTGGGACACGATAATTTTAGTTCTAATTAAGTGAGAGTGATGAAACTTGGTGTATAGTTTCATTACATCAATACCTTGTAATGAGAATTGTCTGCTTAGGCTAAGGAGCAATAAGCATTTTGATTGGTCAAGACTTTGGAACATAGCAACTCTGCTTCTAATTGAGGTAGAATGTTTAAACTTGATGTAGATGTTCGTCTTGACTGAGTTCAATGATTAAGATATTGAGCTAAAGCTAAGCAGAGATAAGCAATTTCCTTGGTCGATGCTTTGGGACAAGATAACTTTGATTCTATCTGATAGAGAGTTATGAAACTTAGTGTATAGTTGATAATCAGTTTGATTGCTAGATACTTTTGAAAAAAATATATGGGCGATTAATTTAGACCTGAGGCTCAGTGTCCATCAAATGGGAACAAAACCAGACCCAACTTTTCTAGAGTAAAATTTTGCGTGGAATACGATGCCGAGTGGTAATCAGTCCGCCGTTGGGGCGTTTTCGAGATATTCGTGGTCAAAGGTCAAATGAGTTGATTTGCACTGAAAGTGAATGGGCAGTCATTCTTGTATGAAACGAAGCTGAAAATGATCGAAAGTAATCACACTTTCAATAAAAATGTAAACTTGCTAAATTCACCTTTCGTCTTAGTGACCTTGGATGTCAAAAGGTGAAATTTACCATTTTTGCACTAGGAATACCTAAAGCAATAAAATGTCAACGTAAAATATAAAAATTAAAGCAAAACCTGTTCTAATTACTAATAGGAACAATTCAAATTTATCTTTAGGTGATCTTAGCACCAAACTTTTACTTTGGAACGTCGAAAATGATCTTGCATAACAGAACCAACACACTTTGAAACCTGTTTCAAAATACGTAAAAACTGTCAAATCAAAATCTCTCCGATTTATTTTCACAATGATTGTTATACATAATGATACTAGTTATCTGAAAAACAATTGAATAGTTTCAGTGTTGGACTCCAGCCTGCAGACCGCGTGGATTTCCGAGAATCCCAGTCTAGGAAAACCGACGTTAATCTGTGATTAAAAGTTTGCAAACTTTTTATGAGTTTTTATGAATTTCGCCAGAACATGGACGCATATAAAACCGACGAATGCATTGTACATAGTAGTTCACAGGATATATATGTCGTATTGGTAAATGTTAGCGGGGAAAATTTTGGCAGGCTTTGTGACTCGGCCTGCAGGTTGGAGTCCAGCCATGGAACTATTAAATTGTTTTTTTCAGACAACTAGTATCATTATGTATAGCATTCGTTGTAAAACTAATTCAGAGAGATTTTGATTTAACAGTTTTTACGTATTTTTGAAACAGGCTCCGAACCGTTTTGGTTCTGTTATGCATGATCATTTTCGACGTTCCAAAGTAAAAGTTTGGTGCTAAGACCACCTAAAGATAAATTTTAAATGTTCCTATTATTAATTAGAACAGGTTTCGCTTTAGTTTTTATATTTTCGCCGACATTTATTACTTTAAATCTTCCTAGTGCTAAAACGGAAAATGTGACCTTTTGACCTCTGGGGTCACAAAGAACAAACGTGAATTTAGCAAGTTTACATTTTTATTGAAAGTGTGATTACTTTCGATCATTTTCAGCTTATTTTCATGATACAAGAATGACCGCGCATTTACTTTCAGTGAAAATGAACCCATTTGACCTTTGACCCCGAATATCTCGAAAACGCCCCAACGGCGGACTGATTACCACTCGGCATCGTATTCTATGCAAAATTTTACTCAAGAAAAGTTGGGTTTGGTTTTGTGCCCATTTGATGGACCCCCCCGCCGAACCTCCAGACTAATTAATATGTGTCATCTATTTATTGGGGGTTTTCGGCGGAGGACATCAGCCTCACTGTTAGCTTGTTTTCAATAGTATTTTATTTCACTTAGCCGTTCCAATAGGTATAAGTTGATTCCAAGTGACACAACGCGGTCTTTGTATGGCTTCTCCTTAGATGTGGCAGCATGCATCCGTTTGGACTATTCCATTTAATGCAGCTTCGTCAAGAAATCAGCTCCCATTCGGTTCTCACATCACTTATTGCTATGTGATGTGCTAAAAGGTGGGCCTTAATGTCCTTAGTACATTTTTTCAATCGTATGAAGTGATTCTCTTGGTCATATCTGGGATATATACCACATTTACTGGCCTTAATGTCCTTAGTACATTTTTTCAATCGTATGAACTAATGAAGTGATTCTCTTGGTTATATCTGGGATATAAACCACATTTAATGGCCAAACATGAGGAAAAACTGCAATTTTGCGCGCTTTTGGGCACGGCCATCTTGGATTGGATATCAAGCCTCACCAAAGAGACTAGTCTTGCTCGAGGGAGTTTCAAGCTGCTACCTGTGAGCGCGGGCGAATGATTTGGTGAAGAAACGGAGATAGCTGGCTTACCCTGAATGAAAGTAGTTGGCCATTTCATAGAGAATGAGAGATTTACAATAGGGAAAATTCACCAACTTTGACTTATGATTTCGCTTTGATTGAAGAGAGGTGACAGAGATTTTATTTCTTATATCGATAGAGGGAGTCGAGCTGTGCATAAAACCATTTCGATAT